GAGAACAAATTATGATATAAAAATCATGTGTAGAGATAGAGAACAAAATGATATAAGCTTAGCTTGGTGATATGTTGCTAGAAGAAAAGATGTTTGTGAACCTCATCAGTATGTTTGTTTTAAGCTTGCAAAAAAAAAACATGCTTTATCATTTTATACTTCAGTTGAATTCTGAAGTTGTATGACAGGAAAAGGAATGTTTTTCTGGAACAAAAGGTTGGCTTAAATAGATCATTTTTCACTTAACCAGTATCAAGTTTCATTTCACCAACAAGGCCACTGTAAGTTAGATTGTCCTTACAACATGCCTTGTTAGCCAAACAAATGGCTTGAATTGGCAAATAAAATTACACAAGAGAAATGTAAAAAGAAACATCTAAATGAATATAAGATGGTTTTAAAACTTATCACATCAGGGTATGTACGGGTCATGGGAACTCTGAAAAACTTATGGAAAATTAACTTTTTTTTTTCAGGCCTAGCAAATTGGTAAACGATGTTAGTCATGGAAAATCAGCATTTGACAATTTGAAAAACTGGTATAGGCTGCTAACAAGTAACTACAATTACAGGGTAGCTTAACACTTTTTTTGATTGGTTTTCTGCTGACCTAGATACAGACAACCTATAGAGTACAAATAGGTTAGCATGTGTCCATAAGCAGCCATATTGTATTTTATTAGAAATGCATTGGTGGCTTTGTTTGGACTCTTGTTTGAATATGTAAAGGATTTTATGGTGTATGTGGGAAGAAGAATTGTGAAAATGCTTGGGAAGTGTACTTTGAATGACAGTTTGGCATCACATCCCACATACAAATCTTGGATTGTTAGGGGCATTCGCAACAAATCTTTCAACATCTCAAACATGGAAAAAAGCAGTATTGAAATCCACACAAAAGGGGCTTAACATAGAGATACGAGTGTAAAATTAATCAGAATAATACACATATCATCGAATTTATTGGCAAAAACTCTGCAAGAGGTAAAAAAAAAGAGGAAAAGGCGTGTCAGTTATTTACTAGCCCTCTCATTAAGTTTTTAAAATGTAATATCTGTTATTTGACATTAGAGATATATATTTTATTGACTTTGAAACATTAGTCATTGTTACAATAATGATAGATAATAAATTTCTAATCATTGCAATAAGTTAAATTCAGATGTTATTGAGATCTAATACCATTTTCAATCCAGTCATTCTACAAATAATAAATTAAAAATCTAATGAATATAAAAAAACTTTATAAACAGGAAATCCTTAAGACTATAATCAGTCATTCATTTTTTTTTTTAGTTTGTCTGTGGAATGTTAATATTCACAAGGCTACCACAAGATATCTGTCACATTTTGTTGATCATGTTGCTGCTGAACACTTGTTAAACAGTTCTGTGGGTAGCTTAACAGGAGAAAACTTGCAGATAAGTGAATACTTATATACAGACAAAAATCAATGGTGCTTCTCTGGCACCTAGTTTTATGTGTAACAGTATTTATTAATAAAATATGCATTGGTTGGAAAATGAGAAATTTATCATGTAACAGAGAATTACTGGTTCTTTTTGTTGTTGTACGTCTCCAATGGTGGTCTTTCTATTAATTGGAAATTTTTGGATCACCTACATGGCAATGCCTTGATCCTAGGCAAGCTGTACAGAATAGAGATGTTTGTATTCAAAAGTTTGAGAGGGTTCTGAAATATTTAGTTGAGGCAAAGGAAATTTCAAGGTCGAGTTGTGATGTTATCAAACTATAATACATAGACTTTATTAATGATGTTGTCCCCAGATCTTTTAATTGTGTTCAAGTCTTTTATCTTTGAGTCATGCCAAAGTAGAACATAGATTCTTTTTTTGCTTTCATCTGTGGCTGGTAAGCCATATTTTGATAAATTATGGCATGTTGTGAAGGGTTTGTTAGTCCTCTCTCATGGTCAGGCAATAGTAGAGAGAAATTTTTCAACTAATGAATGAGTATATAAACAGAACTTACAAGAGAAGACTTTTATAGTCAAAAGAAAACAATTCTTGATCACCTGGTAACAGGTGGGGGAGAGTGGGCACTCAGTGTGCTATTAAGTCAGAGGCCAGACAGAAATACATGAACTACATAGACAATGAAAAAACAAGGAAAGGAAAAGTTTTGAATAGTGTGAAAAAAGTCAAAGCTTGATGAGTGATATTGATGAACTTAAGAAAAAGAAACCAGGACTGGAAAGTGTTGCAGAGACCCTTGTTAAGTTGGCAGGATCCTATTCAGAAACAGAAGAAGCTTTTCAAAGCATGAAATAACAAAGAAATCTTGTGGCAAAGGGCAAAAGTCACAGAGAATCTGGCAAAGAAAAACTAGCAGAGGCAGAGAGAACTGATACTAAAATAATTGACAAGCTGGCTGAGTTAAAGAACCAACAAAGTATTTTTAAGCTATGTACCTCATAAAATTTGGTTATGTACCAAAGTTATTGTATTGAAAGGTTATTATTTGTCTAAAAATGTTCAATGTAACTTGGTACACTCGTATTAAAACATAGGGTATCTTATTGCCTGTGATAATGATAACAAGTTGAAATAAATAGTGTATTTCAGAATATAACATCATTGTTTTGTAACTAATTTTAAGAATAGGTAAACTATGATAGGAAATCTAGAAGTATAGTCAATATCATAAAAGAAAAATGGTCATGGAATGTTTCTCTTGAGGTGGTGTATGAAATGTGTCACATATATAAAATTAAACCTTCTGATTAATAATTAAAAACAGTCAGCTATCCTATGATTTTGGTGTGGTATAAAAGTTTTTGTTTTTTTCAAGTGCTAGTGATTGTAAGCACAGGGAAAATATGTTTAGTATTCTTCAAATCAAAACTAAGGTAACATTTCAGACAAACTTTCAGCTGAGCAGATGCTTGCACAGTTGAAAGCAGACCACTGACATGAGTAGCCATTGTTCTGAAAATTGGTTAAAGATGTTTGATGTTGCTTCTGCTTAGCAAACAGTAGAGTGATATGGTACTTAATCTCAGAAAATGGCACTGTACAATATGGCAAAAATGTAATATGGGACACTGACGTGTGGCCATGATATATAAGATTGCTTTACTAGACTGTTTTATAAAGCTGTTGGTACTACCAAGGCAGTAATTTCATTGAAAGCTCACCCATCTAGTACTAACAAACTGTTCCCAACTAACCGCATAATTTAAAAATATGTCTTATTGCTTTATAGTGTACATTAGACAATTAGAAAACTTCCTATTGGGGAGTTTTTGATTGTCTTGATTTACAAAAGATTCTGGAGTAGCATGCTCCCATATCCTCTTGGAGGATTTTGTCCTGTGCTCTGCCTTACACTGATATGGTTAGCTGCCTACATTAATAGTATCATTCATCTACTCTTATTAAAGATAATGAAAACCTTACATGAAGCAAATGTATTTTAGTTATTCTGATAATAAAGATTAAAATAATTGTACTATTTTTTGTACTAATGCTTAGAAGTGTTTGCAGTAAGTTGTTAGAATGGTTATGATTGATATGTTAGATGCTCTGATGGGGAAGTTCTAGGTGAAGTTAATAAATAAAAAAATACAGGTTTCTTATGATTAATAATAAGGCCAATATGATTTTAACTTTTATATATATAGAAAATTTGTTACTTTACTTTTAGCATCTTTTAACCCTCTTCACATTGGTCAAAGGCCGTATCATTGTATTTGTTGACTCACATTCAAAATTTATTGAACTACTATTTTATGAATTTATGTTAATAAGTTTGGTATCTAACTGTAGATTATAATTCAAATTTTAGTATTATATATTATTTAATTTTGGAATTCAAAAGTAAATATTAAAAAATCACACCTAAACATCAATTTCTGTGTGACATCTGGTATGTTGAATGCAGCACTGGTTCAAATTAGATGTTTGTGATGACAAAATACAAAGTCTGTAGTTTCGTACGAATTAGGAACTGAAATTACTGATATTAACATGCTAGAATATAGAATAAGAATCTTCTATCTTTTCTATTTGCTGAGATATTGCTCATGTATTCCATTTTTGGAAATGCTCCTTTATATACACTTACCTCTGTCTATAAGATGTTAATAACCAATCGAAAGCTCAAAATGCCCCCTTAGTGCCAACCTACAACAAGCAGCAAACGAGTACAAAGGTCGTAAGTAGAAGAGATAATTGTTTGCTTTACTTCTTTATTTACTGTTTTATGTTTTAAGATAAGTTTAAGAACTTACTTGTAAATAATAATAATCTATATACATATATAATGTATAATAATTGAGATGTGACTGTATTTTACAATATACTAGTCCACTAAAACACAGCCAAGACAGGTCATTTTGTAAAGACTAAAGGTCAGTTTTATATTATTGGATACAGTAACATGAGTACACATGTGCCACGTCATTGTAACTTCTGTATTTTTAGTCAGGCACAGCTGAAAGATCAATATAATAAATATACATGTGTATAATGTTATGCAGTTTAAGCTATTTAGTCTAAACACCGTGTTTTCATTTATAATTCATAGTCATTCTAGAACAAAAAAGGCGTAATTTATATTTATTTCATAAATTTTTATGGTGGGTACAAGATTGATCAAATAGACCGAACCCGTACAGAGATTCGTTAGTGAAAATAACAGGTATAATATAAAGTTTTTTCTTAAGAAATGTTTGATAACTATCTGGATTTTACATATGAAATTTGAAAATTTTCTGATGTATAAAAGTATTTTTCATCTTAAAATGAAAATTACTTTGCATATTGGATAGGCGGGGCTCAGTCCCTGGGACTGACCTCGTAATCATTTTGTGCTTATTATAGTTTTCATTCTATAACTTTTAAATTAGTAAGCGTATGTTCACAAAATTTGGCAGATTATCAGTGAACATTACAAGGCTTTCATAAGCAAAATACCAGATTTTTTATTAAGTCTTAAGGTTTGTTAAGCAAAGTTTTTATCTTCAAATGTTTTGCTGAAAGAGTTAAGAAAAGCTATTGAATTCTTGGATAGAGTTTACTTAAGAGCTACAAGGAGGATTCCAATTTGTAGGGGTTATTGTATGGGGATATACTGAAATCTTTTGCCATGTTTTTGCAGTAGAAGAGAAAGGTTCTTGGGAAATAAAAGTTTTTAAGACTGTTAGAGATTTGGAATTATAAATTTAGATGACTTCACTAATACAGCAGGCAGCAAGACTAGAGGATACAAGTTTAAGATGCCAAAAACTGAGGCATGGCTTTAGTTAAGAGATGAAACATTGCTTTTCAAATAAGATGGTTGACTTGTGGAATTGTTTGCTTTCAGGTGTGATAGAAGTTGGAAGATTGAACAGGATTTATATGGGTCGTGGAATTTCTGGAAAGTCAAGGGAAAATAACAATTTTTCCAGACCTTGAAAATATGGGAATTTTCATGAATTTTAGTTGTGGTCAAGGAATTTTAGAGAAAATTATATAGGGGGGAAATCTTACTATAGAGATTACATGGAATATAGTTGTAGTAGACTTCCGATATGCTCCATGGCTAATACCTTTGGTCATGAAGCTGTTTTTTGCTCTGCCATCACAGTGAGGATGAATTAACAAGCTTTTATTGGTTTTACACTGTGATGCTACCATGTTTACCTATTAACAATGTCTTCTATTGGTTAATATGTAATATTAGTATCTAGGTGAGAAAAAGGTCTGTCTTATTTGTTATTCATTGCCTTTGACAATTGACAAAGAGAAGATATTTTTTATATTAATTTGATTTATACACATAACTTGTGCCTGCAAAGTGCTGGTTCATTGAACTTTTCTGAGTGATGAAAGGTGCAAATCGACAGGAGTGTGTATGTGTGGCATTGTCAATACAGATGAGAAAAATAAATCTCCAGCATTTTTAGATGGTGAGTATTATGGATTGTGGTCATAATTTTGCTGACATCCAAAAAGTAATTTCATTTACCTGCATTGATGTTCATTAATTTGTTTAATTCATCTGTTAACTAGTATGCATTAACTTGCTGCATAATATTTGTAGTTCTGTTCTAGTTTTTCTCGTGTTTTCTGCTTTAGCTGATATAGTGCCTGGATAGGCCAAATCCTGTCTCAGTCTTATTGAAGTCAAATCCTGTTGTCTCACAGTCTTATTGAAGTCAAATCCTGTTGTCTCACAGTCTTATTGAAGTCAAATCCTGTTGTCTCACAGTCTTATTGAAGTCAAATCCTGTTGTCTCACAGTCTTATTGAAGTCAAATCCTGTTGTCTCACAGTCTTATTGAAGTCAAATCCTGTTGTTTCACAGTCTTATTGAGGTCATATCCTGTCTCACAGTCTTATTGAGGTCATATCCTGTCTCACAGTCTTATTGAGGTCAGATCCTGTCTCACAGTCTTATTGAAGTCAAATCCTGTCTCACAGTCTTATTGAAGTCAAATCCTGTCTCACAGTCTTATTGAAGTCAAATCCTGTCTCAGTCTTATTGAAGTCGTATGAAATGTCTCTTAATGGGTAAAATGGTCACAAAAGTTTTAATACATTGTTCCAACTGTTTAATAAAACCAGGGAAAGTCAGTGAACTTCATATCTTGCTTTCCAGCGTAGGAAACATCGAGGAATTTCATATTACTGGCAAAAACCATGAAAAATCAATGAATTTCATGTGCTTCAGTGATACTTGTTGGACACAGATAATGAAAAAATAAATTATCAGTATGCATATTTTATACATAATCATTATGTTTACCTACTTCAGTCTTTTTGCATACTGTTAATCATCACGAAGTATGAAAGCAGCCATAATAGATTAAGTAAAACGTAGCTAAGTTCCCACTTAAATGAAGTGTAAGGGCTCTAGAAAAGGTTTTGTTTCATCTTCCTAAAACTAGGTCATGTGAGATCATTTTATCACAGTGTAAAAGCCCTTAAATTACTCTTTAGAGATAGGCTGTTTCATTAAACAAGTTAGTTTGATCTTAGAAATTTTAGTGCATTAATTAAATAGTCCCCATGTGAGTTGTCATAAAAGGAACAATAATACACTGGGTGTATTACATTATTGATATATTGTATATGAAAAATTTCAAAGGTGTCCAATGAAAAAAAAAACTGTTTTAATGTTTCAGTAAACCCTGAAAGTTCAGAGATAGAACAAACCTATCCAGTTTGCGTGAGTTTTTCATTTCATACGTATACTTATATTTGGTGATTCATTATCAAAAATAACTAATAATTATATAAGATAATTTATCAGTAATTTTGTTTTAATTCAATATAAAAAAAATGTACATAATTAAGCAGTGCCTCTACTACACAACATTATGATGCATGGTACAGCTTGGGCTGACAGAATATCACCAGTGACAGTTAAAGAAAAATCTGTATAAAACAGAATATAGATAGCAATGTATGATATCAGTAATTTGGAGATACGTTGAAAAAACTCAAATATTGAAATGCACAGTAACTAATAATATGGCTATTTGTTATCCATGAAGTTTTGTAGAAACAGTTGAACTTGCACCAGTGAATAACTGAATAAATTCTGTTTACCTAATAATCTATAATTTAATGTATCCCATGTCTCATATTTTATGACAATTTACTGTTTGCAGTGCTACCAACACTCACCCATTTAGCATGAGAGTCATGCATCTGGGTCTGTTCTCACACTCACGTGCAATAGTAAAATATCTCGGTTATTTTTTGGTTGAATTAACAGCTTTTTGTAATGCACTGTGATTGGTCCACCAGCTAGATCCTTGTCAAATTCATCATAACATTGATCCAGGAAATGCATCAAATTGCACAATTTTGCTTCATTGAGTAAACAATTTTATAGGGGAACACTCCCCCAAAAGCTGACTGCATTTAGTGCTTACAGAATTTTACTGTGCACTAACTCTTTACTTTTTCAAAAGTTTCACTCAAACAGATTCTTAAAAGCTGTTTATCAAGCAATAAACAAAAAGCCAGGGACAAGAAATAATATAGACTGAAGGTGAAGATTATCATACACTGCTTGACATAATTGGATTAATAATTTTGGTATTTTTTCAACTATGGGCTTCTAGACCGCAGTATGTTCTTGAGATCAAGATATTAATTGTTTTAGTGATTGTGTAGTGTTAGTATGTTTGGTTATAGGTGATCTGTTGGTGTTTGCCATTGTGTTGAAATCCAAGGGCCATACCAGAATAACTGTAATCTGCATACTTTGAGTAAAAGTTTCACTTCATAGCAGTTTTATTTAATGTAATAAACTGAAAAAATTGACATTTGTGGTACATTACTATGCAATATCACTGTCAGTGTACTTGTTTACAGAAGCTTGTCATTGCTGATAAAATAGTTAATTGACAAAGAATGAATTAAAAGTATAATGAAAATTATTTTATGTAGAGAACATACTATGTGTTTCTATGAATGACTGATCAGTGTTATGTTAAAATGTATTTTCTCTACATAAAATGATTTTTGTTATGATTATAAATCGTTTGTCAATTTGCAACCTCTGTCAGTGATAAACACGTTTAAGGGAAGCAACTTTTAATGTCCTGAAATAACCTTTCATTAATCAGAAATTTACATAACTTCCATCTAGGGGATGGGTACTCCAGCTAGCTTTTAATAAAGTGCTTCTTGAAAAATCTTGTCCCTGAACCTGCAGTAATCAGTCTGAATGCAACATAATTTTTATATTCAGGATAAAAATATTTTTTTCATCTTACAGTTTGCATATTTCACTTGCATAACCTTGAAAACCTCCAAATAGAATGACTGCAAATTGTAACAGACAATTAGTATCATTTATCTTAAACATCCTCAAGCTCATAACAGTTTGCATCTGTTTTCATTTAATTTTATTGATCTTTGAACTGTCTAACTGCAGCAAATAATGATACATCATCTAGTAGGAGTGAGGACAGCTTAGGGTAACAAAATTTCAGATTACATCATGTGATGTCTAACTGTATATGTTCCTTGTGCATTCCTTAAGATGGAAACAAAAAATTCATTTAGGTTTTTCTATTTGACCTAATATTTTTTTAAATTTTACATTTTAGTTGTTTTTGTATAAAAATATCAATAAATCAAGAATATACATACTAAAAAATAATAAATTTATCTCTTCAGGACTGAGGCCATTTTGTTCTCAGAATCTGGTCTTCATCAACCCTAAAGTTGGTTGCCCAAAAATAATTCATGTAGCTTTCAGACATACATTTTAAAACACAAACAGTAAAACAGAATGGTCCAAAAGTATTCTTAGTTTATCTGGCTTTCTAACTGACCTTTAAAAGTTTAGAAATTTCAATTACTTACTGTAGCACTGACTTCAATATTCACTCTTTTAAATCTGCTTTAGAAATGGTGCCATTTACTGAAATAAATTATCATAAAGATTTCATAATCACATAGTTCACTAAATAGCTTTTTTGTAAGTTATAGACATGTACCATCGATAAGTGAGCATTTTCAAAAGCATTCAGAGTTGGGAGGAGCTTCTGTGGTGAGTGTAACAGATTTATTGATGAAAAAAGGTGGGAGGTCTTGTTTTAACTTCTACCTTTAAATATCTATGGTTGGTGTATCTAATTGATGGACATTCTGAAATCCATATAAGGAAAGAAAAGCTAAAACAGAATTCAGAGCAGAGAAGCATCATGAGATAACTAGAGATGAAGATCAAGAATTTATTGAAATATTTCTTTTTTTAAATTAAGAAATAAGAACTTGATGACATGTTTATTGACATACATTGATGATAAAGTTATGTAATTAAATTTTGAATATAACTCTCTAAAAGTCATGACATATGCACTTTGATCCCACACCCATGCATTTAGGGTTAACAACTATTCCATTTTACAACAGTGAACATGTTTCTTCCATGTATTAAAAGTCAAAATGTAGTAATAACAGCTGTTAAAATTTGTAGTGTCGTTTATGCCCTAATAACGTTTTTATGTTATAAATTAAAAAGTGTTATGTATATGCAGTGTCATAAAGAATTGGATAAATTGCATCTGTTGTGTGTGTTTTGATAAAGTATCAGTAATTCAAGAACATTGTGACTGATCATATTGGAATTGTAAGATGACATTTAAGCAAACTGATTTCTAACCTAGAGCCTATCTTTTCTTTATTAAAGAAAATGTGTAATGTTTTGAAATTTTGTATTTTATTATAAGTAATAATTCAATGTTACATTACAAACAAATCAGATGGTTAGGGAACAACATATTTTGATCAGGGAAAGAAAGGTCTGGGAATTTAACATTATTCGATGTGTGTGAACTGTGATTGAAGGCCTTTAAAGAGGAGATTGAATAAATATTTAAGAGAGATTATGGTTGGATATAAGAAAAGTAGTTTTAGTAGGTTGGTTTTAGAAAAGTGGATAGTATAGATGGTCAAGATAACCTCTTGTTATCCCTAGGAAATTAAGTTACTAAGTCATGTTTAGTTGAAGATTTTGAAGATATTACTTTTAGAAGGTTTATAAGAGGAGATGAGGTGGGCTGTTTTGTTTGTAAAAAGTGAGCTGAAAGTATGAGAGAAGTGATTTTAGTGAGGTTTAAAAACAAATGTGAAGTATTATGGTTTAAATGCCAAAAACCAGCAAAACATTGTAAAACCAATAGGCCTGAAAATTGCTATAAAAATAAATTAATTGTAGATATGCAAAAAAAAAATCCTCTGTAGTTAACTGTTTAACAACTGTGAAGTGTTTGGGTGAGGCACCTGAAAACAAAAGGGAAAACACTTTTGTTTGGCATTATATAAGATCTATATTATATAAGATCATTCAAAGTGATAAAAGTATATAGAGGTAGACTACTTATTTTGTCAAGAGTCATTGTTCTTTTTGTAGGTATTTAAGCATAGATTTTGTGATGAACAAAGAAACAAATGTTAAATAGGCAGCAATTTCCTAGTTCAGCTTGACACTTTCGGAGGTTTTTGTAGGCTGACTTAATGACAAAAAAAGGTAGTTTTTTGAAACTTTATCCCTTCCACTGAGCTACTTTTGTAGATCAGTTCTTCAAGACTTTTCCCACATATGTCAATGTAAACTGGAAAGTTGTTGTTATTATGGAAGTCTTAATTTCAGGAAATTAAATTGATGAAGTGAGTCTCTTTCTCACTCAGCTTGTGGAAGATCATAGTTTTTGGAAGTTGTTTTAAAACGTGTTCTAAGAGTTGAGAAAGAAAAATGTGGTTGAATACAAGTGATTACAATATTATCTTTGTCTTTACAAATTGTAACATTAATAAGTGACATCCCAAGTGATACATAGATATTACAAAAAAGATCAAGGAAAAATGTCTAAAGTACTAACAGAGTTGTTTTTTTATTATAATAGTAGTTTTATCGATTAGAGAAAAGTTTCTTAAACTGGCTTTTTTGTAAGTGATTATTTGTCTGGTTCTCCAGACAAATAGTTTCAGAGATATTTGTCTGACAGTCATAATGTTCATGTGTAGGCTTAAGGTCAGCTTCATCCCCACTCACTTTGTGAGTGGGGATGAAGAAAACATGGCTGAAAATGCTATGTTTTGCATGAGGGATACATTTCAATAATATGATCAATGAGATAAAATTCATTAGTATGAGTACCAAATTTTACACAAGAGATTCCTGGACATTTAAATTGGCAAGGAAAAGGTGGATTAAATGAGAAGTCATAGGTGCACTGAAATTTTGTTTATTTTAAAACTACAGGAATATTCTTATGAGATTTAGAGTTAGTGAGTATGGTAAGCTGGGAATTTTACAATGGCAAACTATTCAGATGATAGCTTATTTATTTATGTTTATTATTATTACTCAAACAACTCTTACAAGTACAAGAACTCCATAGTTATTCAGCAGTCAAGTGACTGTGCAAAATGCCTTTAAACTTCACTTTCAAAAATTTGACTTTGCTTTTTATTTTTCCAAGCAGTAAAATTGAAATTGCTTTCATTTTTCTGCTTGATCACTCATCCACTGAGTCAAAGGTGCTAAACTCTATCATCATAAAGTTGGTTCACAAACTCTCGACAAAAGCCAATCAAACTGCTGTGGCAATACACACCTTTCCATATTCTTCCAATTTGGCATGCATAATATAGGCATAAGCCACTTGGCATGCATGATCTGATCTTCCAAATAAAACATCAAAAAGTATACCAGTACCAATTACATGCATTGATTGTTATTGAAAATTTGTGTCAAAACAAATAAAAAAGTTGACTGTATATTGTATTGATAGGCATAATTAGATTACTTATTATCAACAGATTACGGAAGGATGTTAATGATGTTGGAAATGTGTTTTTTTTTGGCACATGGATTGCTGTATTTATGATTGAAGTGTTTGACATAAGAGGTAATCATTAGTTATGCAAGCTGTCTACCATAAAGCAGTATTGTTTTATATTACCTTTACTAATTAATTAATTTACAGATATAATTGTATGTTAAGTATTCAGTGAAATCAAATTTATATATTGCTGCCCATGATAATGTTCTTTATTTGCTTAGAATGTCTCTCGCAAATTGGTTAGGCATAAAGCCTTTGCAAAAGTCTTGAGTCAAATTCTGACCAGAAATGAAGGGCGATGAAAAATTAGACAATGAAAAGTAAAAAAAATATTTCATAGTTTTGAGTCATCATGAATTCACTTGGTATGTTGATGATACCAAGGTATTTTGATATTGCTCAATTTGTAAATATGAAAGACAAAGTCTTGCATATGTGGCCATGAAAATCCTGGTAAGACTACAAGTCATATCCAGAATTCAAAATGCAAGTTCAAAATAAGAGAAATGCAGCGAATTTAGAATATATAGTTAATATTATTTTGATTGAAGACAGACTATTTTATTTATTCAAATTGCAAGAATAAAAAAAAAAACAAAAGTGGTTCTCTTATATTCTGAAGAGAAAAGTAAGTAAAAAGATATATATATAATCATCTTTCTTTATTGCTTCAGATTGGATATGTTATATATATAAATCAAAACCATAATATTTAGTGTAAAATTTAACTATTACTCATAACACGTTTCAACTTTATAAATTTCATAAATGACTATTTAAATAAAATAATTAAGAATCATACCATTTGCCAACAAAGTACAAAAAGGATTATTTTTAAAAGAAAATGTGTGGTCATAATACCCAAAATCATTAGGGATATTCCACCTATCAAACATAATGAAAAAAAACAGTTAAGGTTAGATGTTGGGTGATATACCCCACAGCATCTCAACACCTATTATCATTCAACATCAGCAGTCAGTTATGAACATGGTACTCACCCCTAAAGAGTTTTAAGATTTTAAAAGTAACAATACAGTAATAATTTTGTTGTTAAGAACCACCTTTAATTTCTAACCTTGTTAGACACCCAACCTTGACTCTTTAGATAAATAATTAAAAAGTAGCAAGAACACTAAACCATTACCTAAACATTTCGATAATAATTGAACACCCATCTTCCTCCCCTGTCATTTTCATTCAGTTGTAAACTAAGCATGTTGAGACAAGCCCAGCTACCTAAAGAAATCTTAAGTAAAAAAAATTTCTTTTATTCCTTTGAATATGTTTTATATAGAAATGTGAAGTCTCTCTCTTTTCGAAAACTTCTTCTTAGCACCAAGAGGGAGAAATGACTTTTCCTTGTTTTGACAGTTTCACTTTGGCTCCTAGTTGTTGAAAACTTTACTTATTAGAAATTGAGCTTGACCAAAAATATAGTTGGAAAAATATCACATTTATCAGTGTAGGCTTAAGATATGAGTGCAGATTATTTAACCTGTCAATGTTTTTTGCTGTTCATTGGTGTCACATGCTATTTTTGTGGCTATATAACTGTTTCAGTAGGTAAAGATAAGTAACTAGTATAAATAATTGATGAAAATGAAACAAGTTAGACCTAATTGGATACAAGTAAAGAACAACTTTTCAAAAACAATGCAAACAAGATAGTAGGGATGGCATTTGTATCACCCCTACATAATAGCACATCCTATTTTTGTCTGTTAACATTCTACTACACAGTGTGCTTGTGCTATTATGTAGGGATGATACAAATACCATCCCTACTATCTTATTTGCATTGTTTATGAAGGATTGATATTAGCCATCCCTAAATTTACTTCCTTTTTTTTGAAAAGTTTTTTTACTTGTTTTTTTAATGCAGTGTTTCAATAGACATAGGAAGGTTGTATGTATAACCAAATTCTAAATATAATAAGGTTCTAACTGTAATATTTATTGTTTATCTATTATTGACTGGTAATTCCTATTTCACCCCTGCACTTAAGCTTTTTAAGGTAACACCAAATTTCTGTAAGAAGTTGACTTAAGGGGTTAATAGATAACATTATTTACACTAGTAATTATTAGTTTTTATTTCTATTACTTACTGGT